GGGGTTGGAAACCCCTAATTTGCATCACAGGAACAGAGCTCCTGCATTGGCAACTAGGACTACCAACTAGTTCAAGGGCACTACTGATTCAGTGGCTATGCCTATATGTGGCCTTGTCACCAATGTCTTGCCCTTAGCAATGTGGCTGGCCAGTCAGGAGATCCAGGAGACATGATTCTTGACAAAGGATTTTTGGCGTTTTCCTTTTTATTAGCCTTATACAATAGAATGTCATTATTAAGGGCTCATTCAGGACTATGCATTGCGGTAATGCGTGTACCACGGTGTATTACAGTGAAAATCACTGTGTGGTATTTTGGTGCAAAATGAAAGGCCATTAAATAAGGCATTATCTTAGGCTCTGTAAGTTTCCTACTATATAAGTCAAACCATGCATCATTACTGCCTGTTATCTTTATCAGTTGTCTTAGCACCTGTATGGGCATACTTGTTATCTCCTTCTAAAAAACTAATACAAATAAATGAAACAGATAAAAAGATATCTCTTATTTTTCAGGTTTAATCAGGTCCATAGGAAATATGGTATAATTAATATTATGTAGTCTTCGATCCAGCCAGCAGGTGGAGCTCTAGTCTTCTTATCACATCATTAACATGATTACTTTTCAGCTATGCTGAAAGAAGCCTGTTATTTCCAGCATCTGAGTTATCACACAGCTGAGGTTTCTATCAAAGGGAGCCAGAAAGTAAGCTTGGTCTGCTGCGCTGTGTATTTATAGTAAGTTAGCAATAAAACATTGGGAGCACTTTTTCAGGTATTAAATGTTTATTAGCAAATCAATGATTTTATATAGATGGTTAAAAAATATAAAACAATTGTAAAATGTATGGCTTTTGAAACCATAATAATAAAAAGATAGTTTGATGGGGAATTTTGGATGTACTTGATGGATTACTCTATTTGACTGACTATTTTGAACCCTTTACTGTGGGTGTTGGACCCTGTTGGGATCTCTGTAATTTGGAGTGCTCCTCTTTTGAAGACTGGACTGACACTGGGCTGGGCTATTTACTCATGGTGTCCCTTGTGTATGGACTGGGTGTCCTTTGGCCTTTCAATTATTCTTCTGTTGCCCCCTTCAGGAAAGGACGATTCACATTAATCTTAATCCAGCAAACTGTATATATTTGTGATTTTAAGAGACCGGGTTCCATTATATTGATCTCATTCACATGTTCCCCTTCAGAAGATGCTTGATCATTTGAAATGGGTTGAGCTAACGTGGATTGTTAGATGGAATAGATTTGAGCACCCTATGTGAAGGTAGTGGACATGGTGTCACATATGTTTATGATTGTACAATAGAATGTATACTTTTATATAATTTTTGTGGTGTCAATAACTATATGCCCTCTAAAGTCTGTAGCTACAATTTTCCTAGTATCTAATAATAAAAAAGATAGCCAACAAATATTTCTTATTTTTTGTAATCTATAGATTCTTTTCAACTCCATATCTAAATTATATTGACATCCATTTAATTCTTGCTTCAGGTAGCCAGGAGTAGACCGATTACACACTGCCCTTCCCTTGATAAATTCCTTATTGATTTCTCTGAATGTATTTTTAAATTAGTGAAATCACTGGTAATAAAAAAAGTCCAATTGTCTAAAAAAAAATGCAAAACACAGAAATTGTCTCGTGTTTAGGCTGTGAATTTGAAAAAAAATAATTATCTCCTAAATATCTCCCCATTTAGGCTGTTCAATTTTTCACAAATATCCCCATCCATAGTTATTGGTAAAACAAAACTTATAACATAGAACTCTAAAACACTAAAGGCAAGCCAGTTGTATTTTATGTTAGGTGGGCAAACATTTCACAAGAGTGAATTGGCATGAGGGCTTACACTGATGTATGATGTAATTTATTGATATCATTTATATGGTGGTTTGATATAGATTATATGGAATGCCCTTCACTCTGTGAATGTGATAAAGGTGCTGAGTGTATTCTGTATCATCTGTTGGTGTTCACAGCTTTGAAGACGTGTTCTTATCACTTTCCTGTACTCACAATGTCGCTGACACTTTCACAGCCTGATAACCTGTAAATTTATGTAGCATGAGTCAGCCATATTAGGTTAGTGCTGTGGACTTTTTCAGGATATGTGGGTGTTAAAAAAGGTATACTGTAGTAGATGTGTCATTCCGATTAATCTGTTATATTTTACATTTTGTATTTCTTATTGCTCAATGGGAATAAGTATTGGGGCTTTATTTTTTTTGGGGGGGGGGGGGGGCTGTAATAGAATCTTTAGTAACTCTCTAATCCAGCCTTTCTCAACCTTTATACATGGAGGAACCCCTGAAATATTTTTTAGATCTCAAGGAATCCCTGCTAATAGCTAACATATCTACAGCTCATGGTACATTAGGGTAATGGTCAAAAGGAGGAATGCTCCCCTACATTTAAGGTTGGTAGGAAAAATACCCCCTTATAGATAGCTGAAAAGATCATTGGTGTCTTTGATTATTCATCTGAGAGGCAGAAGTTGTTCATTGCTCAAGGAACTCCTAGCAACCTCTGGAGGAGCTCCAGGGTTCTATGGAACCCTGGTTGAGAAAGCTTGCTCTGCAACTGGCAGTAGGGATGTGATGGTACAATGGTTAGCAATAAGGCCTTGGAACTCTGAGGTCTAGCTTAATAGGCTTTTAATACTTACTAATACCCCGATTTTTGCCGTGTTGAAGATCTGCATTTGACATGTCTAGGAATGTAGGAGACAAGACACTGTAGTAATGTTCAGGCCTGCTAAAGGAATCACAGTACCCAGCATCATGGACTTAAATAGTCCATCCCCACATGCTAGGGTGCTAGGTATAACCCTGGACTCTGAACTATCCTTTCCTTTCGGCCCCACATCCAATCACTGTCTGAAGCTTGCTGCCTTCACCTCCGCAACATCTCCAAAATATGCCCCTTCCTAACCAATGACACCACAAAGCTCCTATTTTATATTCCCTGGTTATCTCTCACCTTGACTACTGCAACTCCCTCCTCCTTGATCTACCTTTACATTGATTATCCCCCCTTCAGTCCATCATGAATGCTGAATCCACCTTACCAACCGTTCAGTGTCTGCTACCCCTATCTGCCAAGCCCTCCATTGGCTGAAACTCACCCAACAAATTCAATTCAAAATACTAACAATACCTTAAAATCCCATCCACAACTCGTCCCACAGCTACATTACTAATCTAGTCTCAAAATACCAACCACATTGTTTTCTTCCTTCGTTCCAAGACCTCCTGCTCTCTAGCTCCCTTGTCACCTCCTTCCATGCTCAACCTCCAGGATTTCTCCTGAGTCTCTCCAATCCTATGGAACTCCTTATCCTAATTTCTCAGACTATCTCCTACTCTTTCCTTTTTAAAGCGATCACTGAAAACCCTTTTCCCCAGAGAAGCCTATCCTGCCTCCACCTAACAACTGTATTTCCACTTTCTCCATCAGCTCATCCCCCACAGTTATCACCTTTTGTATCACTTGACCCTCCCTTTTATATTGTAAACGCCAAGGAGCAGGGCCCTCTAATTCTCCCTGTATTGAATTGTATTGTAACGGTACCATCTGCCCTCATGTCATAAAGCGCTGCACAAGCTGTTGGCGCTATATAAATCCTGTAGTATAATAATAATAATTTAATAAAAAAAATTTTTTTTGTTTTTTTTTTGTGGGAAGGCTAGAGCCTTTAGAAAAAACTCACAAAAAAGAAAGGATATGACACCTACTGTGCGGTTACCAAGTTGAGTTAATGTGGAGGCACCTTAGAGTTTATTGGCAATTCTCAGGTCCAAAAAGTTTTGCTAGGTTAGCACTCTTGTAATTTCTGCCTGCGTCTCTGTTGTAGACTTTTTTGCAAACCTTTGTCAGCAGAACAGAAAGTGACGGCAAACCTCAGGACCCCAGATAGAAGTAGAAACCCAACAGAAGTTCTAATCCTTCCCCACTCTATATGAAACTCGGGAAAAAAAAGTTTTTGCTTGTCATACACTTTCATTTCTTTTAGTTTTTAGATTTAGTTTAGTTAGATGTCTTTAAGCCAAACTAATACACAATGGGACGGATTCATTGAAACTAAAGAAATAAAATTGAGCACAAACCTGGAGTTGTAGTTGTTAACATTTACATACAATCAATGGTAAAAACCAACAGGTTGCGATTGGCACTAACTCTAAATGGTAGGCAGATTTAAGTGATGCATTATAATAAATGTTATCTGCAGATATAACCGGTGTGCCTGCTCTTAATTTATTCATGGCTATGTGTTCCACTATTTATATTCCCCCAGATCAGAGTAGGGCTGCAGCACAGAGAGGTCCTTCCACACATATCTGGAAATGTATGAGCTGGGACCTCTGTTTTAATTACAGGGCACTGACAGATTAATAGGTCTTTACCAGCTTGTAGGACTCAGTGCTTGGGAATTGTACTGTATATTTTGCAGTGCGCTTGTTTCGTAAATTACTTCTCCCACTGTGCATGTCCCTATTTAGTTATAAATTTATTAACCAGCTCTCATTCTCACTTTTTAATATTTCTATGTGCTGTGCATAGTGGTGTGTAATAAGTCAGTGGTGTATGCTTACAGGAAATAAATGATAAAAGGATATTGACACTACAAGTTCCATTTTTCGTACTACATACCAGCAACCTAGGCTGATTAACCATTTCAATACCGGGCAATTTTACACCTTCCTGCCCAGGCCAGTTTTCAGGTTTCAGCGCTCTCACACTTTGAATGACAATTGCGCGGTCATACAACATTGTACCCAAACTAAAATTTTATCATTTTCTTCACACAACTAGAGCTTTCTTTTGGTGGTATTTAATCATTGCTGGGGTTTTTATTTTTTGCTAAATTAACAAAAAAAGACCAAACATTTTGAAAAAAAAAAAGTTTTTCTTTGTTTCTGTTATAAAAGTTTGCAAATAAATAATTGTTCTTCATAAATTTAGGCTGAGATGTATTCTGCTACATGTCTTTGGTGAAAATAACCCAAATTAGGATGTATTTTTTAGTTTGTAGGAAAGTTATAGCGTTCACAAACTATGGTATAAATCTGAATATTGATCAATCCTGAAGTACTGACAGCCAATCTAATTTCTTGAGGTCCAAGAATGTCAGAACAGTACAGATATCCCCCAAATGACCCCTTTTTGCAGAGTAGACTTCATAAGAGGCATGGCGAGTTTTTTGAAGTTGTATTTTTTTTTTGTCATAATTTTTCGGAAAATTAAAAAATTAAAGAAATTTGTTTCACTATTTTTTTTTACATATTGTCACCAGTGCAGTACAGCGTCATCATATAACTGGCATGACGGTGATCAGGGACACTGACTGGTGACAGTATGGCAAAAATATAAATATATTTTTTTATTATTTTTTATTAAATTTTTTTTTTCTTTTTTTTAAGATTTTTTTTTTCATATTTCACTATGACCAAAGTAGTACAATGTTACCATAGTAACATTGTACTACTTTGGGGAAGTGATCAGTATTTTTTTTTTACACAATTTGTTTATAGCAAAGAATTACTTTGCTATAAGCAAGCATTTACCTGAATGACATCGATTCATTCAGGGTTTTTTTTTTTTTTTTTTTTTTTGTGCGTAGCTGTGATTTGGCCACACCTAATCACATGACATGTGCATGTAATTAGCTGTGACCATTCACAGCTAGACACTAGTATACAATGGATGGAATGAAGCAATCCATTGTATACAACTGTCATGTGACCTGCTGTGATTGGTCACAGCAGGTCACATGGTAACGGCAACGGGGCCGATACTCAGATCTGTCATCGGCCGTGTCCGAGGTACACGGCCGGTGACAGATCGCGCCACTGCGCCACTCCCGCACATGCGCAATCTGCGCATGTGCAGGGGCACGGCATATGGCGTCCACCCGGAACGCTGATGACATTTGCCGCCCGCCATTCGGTCATAGGGCGGGCGGCAAATGGTTAACGCTAATAAACCCCAAACTAAAAAATGTAATATGTTGCAGCTTACCAATCATTAGATGTAGTGGCTGCATTAGTTTTATTTCATTTTTTTCCCTTTGTTTTCACCTGGTGATCTGGTCAGTAACACACCTCCTGTATTCCACTCCAGATGAAGGAGCCCAGGGGGCATAATTGGACAGCAGCATGTCAGCCTGGGGGTGAGGGGAGTGTTAGATGTACTAGCAGATATAAATTGAAGCCAAACTCCAGCTAATACTTTATAATCATTTACAGCAAACAGTTTTTTCCTTTTGGGATAAATGTTTTAAATAAATAAATATAAGCTGATCATTTTAACCACAAGCCTACAGGGCACTTATACCGCCTTCCTGCCCAGGCCAATTTCCAGTTTTCAGCACTGTTGCACTTTGAATGACAATTGCGCGGTTATGCAACACTGTACCCATATGAAATTTTTATAATTTTTTTGTGACAGATAGAGCTTTATTTTGGTGTATTTAATCACCTCTGGGTTTTTTATTTTTTCTTAAACAAACCAAAAACCACTGAAAATTTTGAAAAAAAAAAGTTTTTTCTTAGTTTTTGTTATAAAATTTTGTGAATAAGTGATTTTTCTCCTTACCTGATGTGCGCTAATGAGGCTGCAGTGATGGGCACTAATAGGCTGCACTGATGGACATTGATAGGTGGCACTGATGGGCACTGATCTGGAGGCACTGGTAGGTGGCATTGATGGGCATATACCGGCATCACTGATGGGCACTGAAAGGCAGCACTGATATATGGCACTGATAGGCAGCACTGACTGGCACTGATAGGCGGCACTGACTAGCACTGTTAGGCGGCACTGACTGGCACTGATAGGTGGCACTGATTGGCAGCACTGATAGGTGGCATTGATTGGCATTGATAGGTTGCACTGACTGGCACTGATGGGTGACACTGAAAGGCAGCTCAGATGGGCACTGATATGTGGCATTGATGTGCACTGGTAGGCACTGATATGTGGCACTGATGGGCATCAGGGCACGCTGATCATCAGTGCTCTGATGATCAGTGTACATGTCCTCTCCGAGGAATTACGATTACCGGCTCTTCTCTCGAGCTGTCAGCGTGACAGCTCGAGAGGAGAGAAATGCCGATAACAGGCATTTCCCTGTTTACATGTAATCAGCTGTGATTGGACACAGCTGATCACATGAACGAGTCGACATCTTCGGCTCTTTCTGTGGATCGGTGATCCGCTGTGTCCGAGGGACACAGCGCACCACCGATCGCCGCGCTACGAGCTCCTTGAGCTGCGCATGCGCGGTGAGAATGGGAGGACGTCATATGACGTCCTCCCAGAACGAGAGAACCACCTTGCATCCATCATATTACTATATGGTGGGCAGGAGGTGGTTAAGCAACCCTGTCAGTGTTAAATTGTCTACCTCATCTCTGTAACTGCAAGAGAACTTTTCCGTTGAAAAACAACAGACTTACAGGCCAGATCACCAGATGAAAATAAAGGAATGAAAGCCTAAAAAAGAAAACTAATGCAGCCACCACATCTAAGAATTGGTAAGCTGCAATACAATAAATGTTTGCTTTTGGGTTTAATACTGCCTTAACCGCTTCCGTGCCGCCCTATTGAAGAAATATTGCTAAAGGGCGGCACGGGTGTGCAAAATCATGTATATATACCCTACACATGCCGTCATTCGCGGCCTTGGCTGTCAATCACCGGGTTCTGGCCGGTGATTCCTCGCCGACACACGATGATCGTCGAGTATTACCAACGGGGGAGAGACCTGTGTATAAACAACACAGATCTCTCTCCTGTCAGCTCTTGTACACTGCTTTGTATGACTCTGCATAGCAGAGCCATACAAAGCAGTGTGCTTACAGTGAAAACACACACACAGCACACACAGTAAAACAGCACACAGTTAACCCTTTGATCGTCCCAGATGTTAATCCCTTCCTTTTCAGTGCCATTAGTACAATGTCAGTGCTTTTTATTAGCACTGATCACTGTATTGGTGTCACTGGGGATGTCAGTGACACCAAGTCAGTTCCCCCCAGTGTCAGAATGCCAGCCGCAGTCCCTCTATAAGTCGCTGATCACCACCATTACTAATATAAAAAAAAAGTATATATATCGCCATTTGTAAATGCTATAACTTTCGCATAAACCAATTAATTTACATGTATTGGGATTTTTTTTTAGCAAAGACATGGAGCAGAATACATTTTGCCCTAAATTTATGACGAAATTAGATTTTTAAAATTTTTTTACTGGACATGTTTAATAGCAAAAAGTCAAAAATATAGTTTTTTTTCTCAAACTTGTCAGCCTTTTTTTTTTTATAGAGCAAAAAATTAAAAAAAGCACAGGCGATCAAATACCACTGAAAGAAAGCTCTATTTGTGGGAAAAAAGGACGTCAATTTAATTTAGGTGCAGCGTTGCATGACCGCGCAATTGTCAGCTAAAGTAATTCAGTGCTGTATCGCAAAAAAATGGGCTGATCAGGAGGGGGGGGGATCCTCAGGAGGGAAAGTGGTTAAAGTTGTTCTAAACTGTAAATTTTTTTTTCTCTGCATTAAGGTAAAACAAAACGTCCACTACCTGCCCCCCCCAATCCCTAAATACTTACCTGACACCTCTCCTGCTCCAGCGCTGTTTTCAGTCGCAGCATTGCTGCTCTCTCTTCTTGGATTCACAGGACACACTGAGAGCAGTGAGAGCCATTGGCTTCTGCTGCTGTCATTCAAATTCTGTGAGGAGGGAGTGGGGGGTGTGGCCTGATTCAGAGCCCTGCTTGAAGTGCTCCTGCACAGGTCCCCTCATTGCATATGGCTTGCACCCAGGAGCACCCAGAAGAAGATGCAGACAGTGTTGGCAGGAGACTCTAGAAGACGAGGTAAGAGGCTGCTCTGTGCAATATAATTGCACAAAGCAAGTGAGAATATGCGCTTTTTTATTTAAAGAAAAAAACTGGCTTTAAAAAGAGAAGTATGGGCTTTTAAAAAAACAAATATAAAGACTCACTTCTATGCTGGAGGAGCCCTGCACTACTGCAGCTGTCTCAGTTTGCTCCAACATGAGAGCTGTACCTGTCACTCCCTGCTCTCTACTCTGCTACTTCAGTGCTCATTGGATGCTGGGCCGGGGATGGGGCAGGCGTGACTGGCTCCGGATCTCAGCTGCACACTGAAAGCTGGAGCCAGCTGTCAATCAGGTAGTGGGGTGAATCCTGACAATACTGTCAGGATCCTTTCTGAATCTGATGTGGGCAATAGCCTACTATTAGTTGACTCTGCGGTAAATATACTCTTTGACCTACAAGAGATGTACAGCCAGAAAAAAGGTTTGGCCATACTTCTTTCAGTTCTAGGCTTTGGATCCCCTTTCCCTTGTGCTTCTTCCCCCAACAAGGACACTTTGGGAAGTGTTTTATGCTAGTTTTTTACACCTACCTTCCTTGGGTCTTCAGGTCAGTTACCTAACATCGCAGGGTCATTTTCTTCTTCGCCTTCTTCACCACTTTCCCAGGTTGGACATGATGATGTCAGCACCACTCTCTGCATCATTATTCAGTGAATTCAAGGCACTGTGGGTCATGACACCCCTCAGAGGGTGAACCCATGATGCCCCACACTCACAGTATGTTCTCAGTTTACCAAAGTAAACAATGCTGGGTGTCATTAAAACCCAAAAGACTGAAGACATCTTGTGGCAAAAAAGAGATTACTGCAAGGGACAGCCTCAGGGTGAGAGAGTATTGCAAGCAGTCTAAGTTTTATTCTGCTTTTTTTAAACCTGCTGAAGGGCATTTAAAAAGTGGAGCTGTGCTTTAAAAAGTATGTAAACCCAAGAACAAGAATTAAATATATAACTGCTTGCCAGTAATAGCTGTGGCGACTGCATTAGTGTTGTTTTTTGTTTCTTTATTTTTAAGACACTGTTTTTCCTAAGGAGGCAATGCTAAATAACTGTACTATGGTGCTTGCTCCCAATTTGGACAGGCTGAGGTACTGATGGCTGCATATTCAGCATGACTCCATGGAGAAAGACTAAGAAGAAGCTAGCCCATGTCATCAAGAGGGCATGTAGGGTGTGGATGTACAAGCAAGACGCTTCTGGCAGAAGAGCCGTGAATGACGCAGATTTCAGGGAAGTAGGTAACAAAACTGGATTATTAAAAAAAAAAAAAAGCCAGTTACTATTTAATCAGTGACAAACCCTAGACAAAAAGTTAATATACTGTATACAAGACATGGGGACAAAACCTCAATCTACCACGAGGAAAGTTCAAAACTAAACTTATAAAGTAGTATTTCCCAATAATAGTCGATGATTGGAATAAACTTCCAGCAGAGTTAGTGAGTCAGTCAACAGTTAATGGATTCAAAGATGCTTGGGACAACCATAGAGCTATGGTCAGGCAAAAAAGGTAAAAAAACAAACAAATCATATAAGAATAAAAAAATAAATAAATATATATATATATATATATATATAAAATATATCTCCTAGATTGTAAGCTCCAAGGAGCAGGGCCCTCCTATCCCTCTTGTATTGAACTGTATTGTTGCTATATTGTCTCCCGTTATATTGTAAAGCGCTGAGCAAACTGTTGGCGCTATATAAATCCTGTATAAAAATAATATATATATATATATATATATAGCAGAGTTGATGAACCACTTGGTCTTTTTTCTGCTGTCACTTTTCTATGTGTGTGTATACACTCACCAGCCTCTTTATTAGGTACACCTGTTCAATTGCTTGGTAATATAAATCACTAATCAGCCAATCACATGGCAGCAACTCAATGCATTTAGGCATCTAGACGTGGTGAAGGCGACTTGCTGAAGTTCAAAGTGAGCATCAGAATGAGAAAGAAAGGGGATTTAAGTGCCTTTGAACGTGGCATGGTTGTTGGTGCCAGATGGGTTGGTGTAAATATTTCAAAAACTGCTGATCTACTGGGATTTACATGCACAACCATCTCTGGGATTTACAGAGAATGGTCCGAAAAAGAGAAAATCTCCAGTGGATGAAAATGCCTTGTTGATGTCAGAGGGCAGAGGAGAATGGGCAGACTGGTTTGAGATGATAGAAAGGCGACAGTAACACAAATAAGCACTCCTTACAACCAAGGTATGCAGAATACCATCTCTGAACGCACAACACATCAAATCTTGAAGCAGATGGGCTACAGCAGCAGAAGACCACACCGAGCGCTGCTCCTGTCAGCTAAGAACAGGAAACAAAGGCTACAACTCACACAGGCTCACCAAAATAGGACAATAGAAGATTGACAAAACATTGCCTGGTCTGATGAGTCTTGATTTCAGCTGCGACATTCAGATGGTAAGGTCAGAATTTGGTGTAAACATGAAACCATGGATTCATCCTGCCTTGTATCAACGGTTCATGGATGTGCAGCAGACAAATCTGCAGCAACTGCGTGATGCTCTCATGTCAATATGGACCAAAATCTCATAGGAATGTTTCCAACACCTTGTTGAATCTATGCCATGAAGAATTAGGGCAGTTCTGAAGGCAAAAGGGGTTCCAACCCGTACTAGCAAGGTGTACCTAATAAAGTGGCCGGTGAGTGTATATGTCTTGTATATCTGCTTACACTTGAATATTCAGATCCCTAATCAAATCATGAATGGTTCTCTTTTTAAAGCTGTTTCAGATACACTGAATTTTCTTTTTGTAGGACTTCAAATCATTGCCTTAGTGGTGTAACCCAACATTATAATATATCTTTTTTTGAGACATATACATTTTTCCAATTTATACAAGTTTCCAGATCTAGCTGTGAGGGTTTAAATGTTTTTCTAATAAAAATGTCAAACAAATCCTTCACTTTGGATTTGCCAGCTTTTGTTGAAGGTCCAGTTACATCTTCACTCCTGGTTTCATCATTTTGCAGTACCTGTAGTAAAGTAAATGTCGCAGGGATGGTCCTCATATTTGCACCATTTTGTACTTTACACCCTATTTATTATAGCAATTTGCTCCATTGTTTATAAATTCTGAGTAAATTGAACAAATTATTGCACCAAATTCACCTGTGTTGAGACATTTTGCCTGCAACTTGAAAACCTGTTGCTCAGGGTGATGTCAACCCTTGAATTAAAGTGGTTCTAAACCTCAGATATGAAATATGAACAAAGCATATCCATCTATAGAATGGATTTGGCTCAATTAAGATCACTAAGTGTCCTTTCTGTCTGTGGCTTCATTCCTCAGTTATCAGCATGAGTCACTTCTGACTTTTCCTGACACCAAGAGAAAAATGGTGAAGGTGAGGGAGCTCCAGCAGATTGGCATCCTCAGCTTTGTTCCTGTGTGCTGTGTGAAGGGGGTGTGTTTCTTCCCCCCAATCAGCTCTCAGAACTCCCCTCACTGAGCTCTGCAATGTCTAATTTCAGCTCTCTACCCCCTTTTCTCTAAACTCTCAGATAAGCTTTATAAATTTTGCATATTGAATGGATATAGAGAACAGAATGCTACCGATAAACAGGTATAACTTATGTAGGAGAGTATGTTTCTTCTCTGTGTATCACTTGATGCCAGTCACTTCACTGTGTAAGTAAGGGTTTTAACATTCGAATCACCCTAGTGGACTTTGGCTTCCTCTTAAATGTCCAGAAGATCTCACTGACTCCTTCTCTATGCCTGGAGCACTTGGGACTGTTCCTGGATAACAGTATGACCAGAGTCTTTATTTCCAAGATATAACTGGGAACTGTAAAAATGTATATCCAACGGATCAGCCTTTCTGCAAAACTGTGTAAGGGTCCTAAGTCTGATGGTCTCAATATTTGAGGTTGGTTTCCTTTACCCAGATCAATACCAGGACTCTTCAGAGGAAAAACCTATCTATATGGCAGTTATCTCTGTCCATTGATGGGAAGATTGGTCTCTAAAATAAGATGAGAGCAATGCAGCTGTAGTAGCTTTGCTACCCACTGCTGACATTGGGTTGCTCCTTCATGCCTCTTACAGTGCCTTGAAAAAGTATTTATGCCCCTTGAAATTTTCCACATTTTGGCAAGTTACAACCAAAAATGTAAATGTATTTTATTGGGATTTTA